CTAGAGAAAGCCCGCCATCGGGAAAGCACAAGCCAAAGAATCATAGTAGTCCAAAGGAACGTAAAGGAACGTAGGCTGCCAGTATAATTTTCGGGGTCAACAAAATCGAGGTTCCAAGGGCCACATTCACCAAACGAGTTCTGAGGAACTGTTGCGCTCTTGAGATCCCAATTGGCACAGGGTTCCAACCATATTTTTGAAACACCCCACCAACACTCACCTTAAAAAAAATGCAACCATGTTTGAAAGCAGACTGGAAGAAAGATGAGTATTTTTAGTACAAACCCTGCAAAGGGCAATGTAGGAAACCTTGTGGCGTTTCCCTGCCACCGGTTCAGGAGCATTCCAGCCGAAAGGAAGGATTTCCCGCTTCATTTTGAGACACCTCTCCTGACAAACCTTGCCCTCCCAGTACTTTTTGGTAATTTCATTGTTAGTTGTTTAAGAATGGAATTGCCCTGGTTTTGTTTTGTTTTTATTGCTTTGGTATATGTTCGTACTTGTTCGTCCTGGTTTGGCTCACACAAAAACCCGAATTTTGTGAAGGACCCGCCTCCACTTCTGCCGTTGCAATTTCTCCTGACGCGCAGAGTTCCAGGGGCGCAGCATGGGTATGTCACAGATTCTCCCCACAGATTGAATCGCGGTCCAACAAGTGCATTGACATCCTCATAAGCCTCAACAGGGATCTGCATGAAAAACACCTGAACATTGCCTTGTGCATGCTGGTGTCCCTGTATTCTGGTGTTGAAAAAGCCATGTTTCAAAAAGAGAAATCACGCCCCAAACGGCCATCGAGACCTGGTGGATGTCCGCACCAAGTGGCGCACCCCTGAAGCCAATCCAACTCCCAGCGCCTCCATGGCAAACAAACCAAGGGGAACTCGCCGCGCGGAGCGAGACGTCGTGGCCGTTAGCGGTGTTGACAGTTGCTGATGTGACTGCCAAGCTCAGGCCATGTTTCGACTTGTTGTTTATACTGTCGAGCCTCCGTGCATAAAAGTCTGATAAGCGGCCGAAATGACGGTGGTGCCGACCTCATTCGCGAGGCAGCAAGTTAACATCACCGTATGTCAAAGCAAACTTGGAGCACGCACTGAGTGGCCCATCCGAACTCACCCACCCACCGCACCCACAAAAACACGCAGTCAAACACCCTACGCACCTTGACGTGCACTCCCCGCGCACAAACACAGCCCCACCCAAACCCACACCCACGTGCACGACACCCACGGACGCACCCCACGCAACCATGCACCCATGCATCCCCGCACCAAGTTGTTTTCCTGAAGCCGCCTACAGCATAGTCGTCGGTCGACAATGTGGAAAGCGAAACGGGGAAGAAAAAAAATAGCAGGGGGCAAGCAAAAACGCATTCCCTAATTGAGGTAGCCAAAAACGTCACAATCCAGTAAAGTGCCAAGCCATGAAAAAACAAAGGCAGCAAATGATGGACAACGGGTCCAATCAGTGCGAAGAAGCAATCACAGTGACGAAGCAGCAACCAAAAAGGTCAGCCCAAAAGTAAATACATACTGCAGCTGCAGCCATCAAAGCGAGTCGCCGCAAGGACCGTCTGGAGGTTCCAGCTCTGCATCTCCAGGCGCGCAGGCATGGCTATCGGCAGAGAAGTACGCACCATATCCACCACACAGCCTTACCAGCTACCTAGGTCCATGCTGCCGCATCGCAGCAGAGACCGCGGCGGGGGGCCAAAGCAAAACCCGTCGTCCTAAGTCAGCGAAAAACACACCTCAACAGTGCTTTGAGAGTGAAGCAACTGAAAGGCGTCAAGAGAAGTAGACAGCACCGTGTATCCAAGTCCACCACGGCAAAGTAGCAGAAATTGCGTTGAAATGAATAACAAGCCAACCAAGGACAAGATGACACAAACTCAGTTTGGCCCTTACACAACAGACAAGCGGCAGCCAGATTCAGTGAGGCATCAGCGCCGCCGACCACATAAGCATGACAATCCGCGCACTTTTCACCACCAATAAGAGACAAACAGGCAAGACCTCCGCAACATCATTTAGAAAAGGCCATCATGGCTACCTCCGACCCCGGCCACAACCACCACAAGGTAATACGAGTGAATAACCAGGCAGCGCATGTAAAGAACGTAGACTGTGGTGTGCATCCAGTCAAGCGTCGCCCGGCGTGCCGTGCACAATCCACATAATCGACATGGAGTCGCACCCAGTCCGTCGCCCGTAACATCCAGAGCAAGTACTGTGTTGGAACCTGCGCCCCACAAATCTGTTGGAGACCTCTGCCATATCTGCAACTTTGACGGGGACAGTTATCACCTTCCTATGTTCGTTTTCAGATGGCAAGTGCTGATGCAAAGCACCTGCCCGCAAAAGGTGACAAAGATATCACGTGCTGGGCAACCTGGAAGACGACATCCTGTCCAAAACAAAATCGCTGCAAAGCGGGGCTGAAGGCTTAAGGGCAGGCTTAAAGGGGGTTCAAGAGAGGCTTAAGGTTAAGGACCTTCTCGGGGTCAGAGCCGCAAGCGGGTCCGTCACCCTGCGGCACCTGCGGCTTTGCCAAACGACCTGTTGCGGAGCAGAGGAGCCGCAGGGCGGGGGTGGCGCGGCAGTTGCGCCCGGCACGCAGGCACGCAGCGCGGAAGCAAGATCGGGTCCGCGGCTTCGATCGGAAGCAAGACTCCGCGGCTTCGACCGGCTCCGAGTAGTATGTAAAGGGGGTCTATACCAAGATGTAAAAAAAAAAAAAAGTTTCGGGTTTTGTGGCGATTTACGGCACTTTTTTGGGCAGAAGCACGAGAGCGAGAATGGGGCTTCTGGTCCACACATAGGTGATTTCATCACCTCTCTCTTTTCGAAGTTCATCGCGAGAGCGAGAATTCTTGCCGGGAGCCTCGTTTTGAGGCGATGAAATCCGGGAAAGGGAGCAATGAACTTTGGGAGGTTGGGTTTGGGGCCGATCTACGGCTTTTTGGGCAGAAGCACGAGATGTGTTTTAGAGGGGGCTTCTAGGTAATTTCATCGCCCGGAAAAACGGCTTGTTTTTGGGCAGAAGCGCAAGTTCATCGCCTCACTTCTACCACTGCCGGGCCACTGCCGGGCCACTGCCGGGCCACGGGCCACTGCCGGGGCACAGCCGGAATTCCAACTTCGCTCTCCCACCGAGGTCGGAATTCCAACTTCGCTCTCCCACCAACACGAAGGCCAACCTCGCTCTATTTTGCCCAAGATCGGGCCCTTGCCGGGGCCATCACCAATCTTGCACTTGACGTGCTTGCCCTTGGCGCTCACCTTGACGGCGCGCTGCAGCTGGCTCTCAAGCTCGGTGCGGGCGGCCCCCGGAAAGGGCTTCTGGAAGATGATCATGTTGTCAATGACGCCCTGCTCCACCTCCTCCGTCCACAGCTCCAGGTCGGTGTTGGTCGCAAAGCACACTCCGACCCTCTTGGCCCCGTCGTCCTGGAAGTTACCTCACGTCAACCTTGCACACCAGCGCGCCCTGATGGGAGTCCTCTATGGACATGAATTTTCCCCCCTTGGCATTGGTCTGAACGTCCAGCCCGAGTGCAAGCTTCATGGTTGCAAAGTTCGGCTTTTTATCTCGTGGAGAAAAAATCCGGTCCGATGAACGCGCGAGTTTTCATCGTCGCACTGGCGGTGATCTTGCTCTTTAAAAATGCCGAGACTCCTGGAGCTTTTCTGCGGCACCAAGTCGGTGGGCAGGGCCTTCGAGGCGGCGGGCTGGGAGGTCGTCTCGCTGGACATCGTGTCGAAATTTGAGCCCACAATCCTTTGCGACATCCGGAGCTGGGACTACACGATGTTTCCGTCGGGGCACTTCGACATGGTTTGGGCCAGCCCGGTCTGCACGGAATACAGCCGCGCGCTGACGACGCGCCCGCGACGGCTCCTGGAGGGCGACGCACTGGCGCTCAGCGCCCTTGAGATCATTGCGCGCTTTGACCCCCTCATGTGGGTTGTTGAGAACCCGGCCACCGGGCTGCTGAAGACCCGGCCGTTCATGGAGCGCCTGCCCTGGGTGGACGTGACCTACTGCAAGTACGGAACTCCGTACAGGAAGCAGACGCGGCTGTGGACCAACATGCGCTGGAGGCCAAGGCGAGGTCTGCGCAGGCTTGGCACGCGTCGCAGGACGGCAGGCACCTCCGGGCTGCGCAGCGGGGGCCTCGGCTGATGGAGGGGCAGTACGAGAGGGTCAGCCAGCAGTCACGCGAACTGCTCTACAGCGTTCCTGCTGCGCAGTGCGACGAGATTGCGCGCGCGGCCACGGCAGAGCTTGCGGAGCGGCTGAGCATTCCGGACTGAGTCTTCGAGCTTCCCTGCAACCAGGGAGCCTGGAAGAAGCTTATTTTCCGTGTTTTTGCATGTTTTTTTGGCGCTGCCACTCAACTTCGAAAAACGCAGTTGAAGGGCAGCGGGCCTTTTTTTGTCATTTTTTGGGCGCTGCCACTAGTAGAAAAAAACGGCGTTGAATGGCAGCGCGCCTTTTTTTGTCATTTTTGAGAGCGCTGCCACTCAACTTCAAAAACAAAGTTGAAGGGCAGCGGGCTTTTTTTTGGATTTAGTCTAGCACCGAGACGCCCGTGCCGGAGAGCGTCACCAGCTGGTAGGCCACCAGGTGGATGAACAGGTCCGTCATCGTGCCGTCCAGGCCCTTGAAGGTGAACCGAGCAAGGTCGCCCGAGCGGCTGCTGACACCACTCAGTGGCATCTTGGGCACGCGCTTGGTCGGAAAGCCGGCAATGAAGCTGTGGCGCAGGTAGCGCACACGGCCGATGTCGATGTTGCGCACCGTGTCGTCGTAGGTGCCCGCAAGGACCGAGAGGAAGTGGAAGTGTTCCGAGGGAGAACGAGCTCAGCAAGCTGGGGAAGTACTGCACGTCGCGCCGCGCCGTCACGTAGCTGGTGTTGCTTGTTTTCAGCTTGTAGTCCAGGCTCTGCATCAGCTCATCCTGGGCTCCGGCGGTGACTACCTCCATGCTTGTTTATATACACGCATTTTGAGTCGTACGGCAAAGGATTCTTCTAGGCCGTACATCTATGTACGGCCTAGAAGAATAGCGTTTTGTGGCGCAAAAACCATGCAAAAGCTATTACTCCGGTCCGTACATAGATGTACAGACTAGAGTTTTTTCAGCGCAAAATCGTGCAAAACGAGCTCTTAGTCTAGGGTCTATCTTGATATAGAGCCTAGACTAATAGCATTTTGTTGCCCGAAACCGTGCAAAACAAGCTATTAGCCTAGGGCCTACATTTGCGTAGGGCCTAGGCTAATAGCATTTTGTAGCGCCAAACCGTGCAAAACGAGCTATTCTTCTAGGCCGTATATGTGTATACGACCTAGAAGAATAGCTCGTTTTGTAGCCCAAAACCGTGCAAAAACCGTGCAAAAAGCTATTACTCTAGGCCGTACATACATGTACACCCTAGAGTAATAGATTTTGTAGCGCAAAACCGTCCAACCGAGGAGGAGAGTTTTTTTAAGCAGCCTCAATGTCTCGCGCCAGCTGGCTGCCCGGAACTGGAGCTCGCCCGCAAGCTCGGCTGGGACTGGGGCACACCACG